GATTGAATGTTTGAACTTAATATATATATTTGGTTTGGTTTAAATTTTCAATTTGAGCTGAATAATTGGTTAGTTTTGCATCATTTACGTATAAGTAGCATTATGACCAATTTTTCCATTTCACATTTTTTATGGATATTGAATTATGAAACTAATGGCTAATCTTTCTCTTGATATTTGATCTTAGTATTTTTGAACTTTAGAATTCTAAGTATCAGATGGCTATGTTTTTTCAAATACCTTGTTTAAAAATGTTTTTAGAGACTTTTTTATTTAACAAAAAGGGGGGAGAAGATATATTATAATAAGGGGGAGTAATTTCAAAATTGATTTTAAAAATTATTTTCATAGAAAATCTTAAAATTACTCAAATGTTTTATTATATCAAAAAGGGGAGATTGTTGAAAACATTTTGATGTTTCGATATAACAAATTAAGATAAATGAATTTTAAGATTTTACAAATGATTTTCTAAGTATATTCGATACAATTATACGAATATCAAAATATTACTCCGAGTCTTTCAAAGTTCAAATGCAATCCTTACTAAAGTGTAAAATTGTGTTTCATACTTACACCTATTTCGAATACAATTTATGCACCGATGCACAACCATGCATCGATGCACTCTGGATTTTATTAAAACATCGAATTGATTTTGTGCACCGATGCACAAGTCATACATCGATGCACCCCAGCTATTTTTTAAACATCGATGCAAATTTGTGTACTGATGCACAACCTAGTATACCGATGTACTAAGTCTTCCAAATGTCAAAATATTTGAATTTTACACATAGTGTACCGATGCACAAAGCCTACGTATCGATGCATCATACGCTCCCAACTGTTTTATTAATTGTTTTTACACACTAACGACTCTATTGACTCCACTAATGATCCCCAACATTCAAAAATGATCCAAGGAGTATTTAAACAAGCTTAGGAGCCATTGATCAATAAAAATTATCAAGAATCAAGAGAGAATCAAAGAGAAAGCATCAAACCTCAAGTTTGAGCATTTTCAAGCCTATTCCATTCAATATTCATTTTTGCTTTCAAGAACACTTATTATACTCAATTGTATTATCTTGAGTGTTCTTTCTTGTTCTAGATTGTGCAAACATATTTCATTGTGAGAATTTTCTTGTAAGTTTGCAAAATTTGTATTATTCTCTTTGGGAGAAAGTGTTCTTAAGAATTTAGGGTATAATTCTTGAGGGATTTGTAAGGTTACTCTTTGTCCTCAAAAGAAAGACAAATTAGTGAATTTGTGTAAAATCATTAGTGTGGATAGCTAAGGTAGTGGACGTAGACTTTGGTTGAGAAAGTTGAACCACTCTAAATCGCTGTGCAAATATTTTTAATTTTCTGCAAAAGCTTCCACCGAAATATTTATTGCCAATTCACCCCCACTCTTGGCCAATTCCATCGATCGATTAACTTAACATAACCTTTACAACTCCTTATCTTTTCAATTGCCTAAGATAGAACCAAAAACTCTTTTACAAGGAAAAGAAATGTAAACAAAAAAACCCTTACAAGGTAGGTGTTTACAAATTTAAGCTCACTAAAACACAATATTTACAAGAGAATAGAAAATAAGAATGAAAAATTCTTCTATTGTGATTGATTGTTTGGATAGATGTTATAACCCTTCTTCAAGTGTCCTCAACTTGTATTTATGTGTTGGAATGTTGTTGTGGTCGTTTCTAGCCGTTGGAATTGGTTTGGAGCCATTGGGGGTCAATTTTCGTGCAAAATAAAGTTGCCCAAACCAAGCGGTATCAATACTCCTAAAGGGATTATCGGTACTACCTTTGTTAATATTTAAATCAACTAGTTGTTAATAGCCGTTGGGGCCTAATGGTATCGATACTACTATACAGAGTAGTATCATTACCCCTTTGGGTATCGGTACCATTTTTGCATTCTGGAATTTGAGCAATGCTGGTAGTATCGGTACTACCTAGTGTGTATCGATACTTCCCTTACCTTTGGTATTGGTACCATAAGAACAGTATCGGTACTTGTTCATTTGGTATTGATACTATAAGAACAGTATCGGTACTGCTTGTCCAAAAAAATGTTTTGTGCTCAATTCCAAGCTTTAATGACTTTGAATTATTTTTGAAAACTTTTGAATAAATTCAATTCAAGTCCAAAAACATTTTGCCTTAATTGTTATATCAAAATATAGTTCAACACAATCCTTGACTTCCTCGTGAAGAGAAGTCAACCTTTGTTAATCTTGACTCCCCAATAGAGTCAATCCTTGATTTTCTCGAAAAGAAAAGTCAATTTTCTTTTTATTTTTGACTCCCCAATAGAGACAATCCTTGACTTCCTCATGAAGAGAAGTCAATATTACAGATTTGGTCTTCCTAGCAAAGTAGTGAATCAAATCAACCTCGAGTCTGATCTTCCTGGAAGTGTAGTGAAAGAGAAGTCAATATTTACCTATTATTATTATTATTATTATTATTATTATTATTAAATAATAATAATATTACAAGACCAATACAACAAATCTGTGGGCGCAATTGATAACAAAACCCGAAGCCCCATTTTACAAATCCAACCCTATCCAGGCCCAAAAAAATAACCCAAGGTCATTATAACCTAGTAGGTCCAAGACCTATTTAGGGTTTCTACTATGGTTTCCCATATCTTCAACCAGCCGCTAGCTCCCTTAACCATTGGATCTGGAAAGATCCAATGGCCCAGATGATGCCAGAGAAAGCCTAGGGTTTCATTGCTACCCTAGGGCTATCTGGCTGCTGCCTTAGATTGATGATGATCCCACCGTCGCCGCCTCCAAGTGCTCCAGTAAGCAGCCACACCTCTTCAGTCGGATCCAAAGGATCTGGGTGCATTTAATGCACCTAAAATATTCACTGCACACATCACCGGCCCTACGGTGAGTCACCACCATAGCTCTGGTGACTCACCGAGGGTTCATCATTACGAACGATACTCCAAGGGTTATATAAACTCTTACCTGAAAGAGAGAAGAAACCAACAAGAACGAAGGACACGAAAACAGAGGGAGAGGACCAACAACAAGCAACCAACAAATATTTGAAAGGAAAAATAACAAAAACAAGAGAAGAGACCAAGGGACTTACCCATGACCTTCGGAGGCTTCAAATGTCGTCGGAGAGCCGAAACATCGAAGGTAAAAAAAAACCTAGATTTATTGTGTATAGTTGGTTTTTAGGAGGAAAAGTGGTTGGATTCGGCTTTAGAGTTAAAAAAAGGTTGATTTGGGTAATTTTTCGATTTCTGGACACCGTGAGTGGTGGCTGGTGGCGACGGAGAATACCGGTATATGACAGCCAACGGTGGCCGACTATCCTTTAGTGGAGGGTTTTAGAGATAAGGTAGAGAGAAGTTTTAATTTTCTCTCTTAGAGATAGAGGAAATGAGAAAATGAATCTTAATGACCTTTTAGGTTGGTTTTGGGGGTATTTATATCCCTCCCCAAACGACGCCATTTTGGGGAGGGACTATCTGTGTATTTTTTGTATGGGTAAACCTCATCCGCAGTCCCTATGGTTGTGTAAAATTTCATTTTAGTCATAGAAATCATGTTTCTATGTATTTCAATTTGGTCTTAGAATTTTATTTATTTCTATTTTAATCACTAACTAATATATATATATGTTTTGGGTAAAATATCCAATTTAGTTCTATCATTTTAGTAAATTTTTTATTGATCCCTAATAAATGATTAAGGATAAATTACACTGCCAGTACCTAATATATTAAGTATTTACTATTATTGCCTTGATCTTTTGTAGTTTTATAATTCAATCACTAAATTTAACATATTTATTATCTTAATAATGTATTTATATATTTGTTAATATGTGTTAAGTGTAATATTTTTAAGTGTTATTTTACTCGAGTAATTTATAGAAATGCACCTTAATTAAAAATGAGTGTGTTTCTAATAATTATTTATATAAAATAATATCCAATTTTTATATTTTAAGTATCATAAGTTAAATATTATTTAAATTTACCAATTTTAATTATTAAGATGACGTATAATCCTGTAAGTACCAATTTTGGGCGTTGTGTGGGTGTTAATCCTTCCCCACACATAACCGACTCCCGAAGCCTTTTCAAAATGAATCTCTGGTCAATCGTAGATCGATTTTTTTTATCTTTTAAAATTATTTTAAAAGGTATTTTTTAGGTATTCAACTTACCTAACCCCAAAAGTCGATGGCAACTCCAAATTTGTATTTATTTAAAACCCGATATGTTACCAAAATTAAGTTAGATAGATTCTCGAAAAAACCGCTAAAAAGCCTGGCGAGGACCGTTTCGACAAAGGTTTTTTCGTATGTCAGGTACATACAACACATTTTGTAGCTTAAGTTCTTTTCCAGAGGTCATCTTCAAGACTACAATACCCTTCCCCTTGATTTTGGAACTTGCAGCATTGTCCATGTAGAGCTTCTCCCTATTGTCGCAAGTTGTTAATTTATAAAAAGAATCCTTGTCGCGACAAATATGATGTGTGGCTCCAGTATCAAGCTACCATTCTTTTGGATTAGTGTCAACCAAGTTAACTTTAGAGATCACATCACATAGATATATGTCCTCCATATCCTGAGTTATTCTTTCCACAACATTAGCCTCGTGAGCTTTGGCTTTCTTTGGATGTCTGCACTCAGTGGACTTGTGCCCCATCTTTCCACAGTTAAAGCACTTTCCTTGGAATTTCTCCTTCTTGGAAATTCCACCTTTAGGTCTCAACTTCGACCTATTTTTGGGTTGTTTTCCCTTCTTGAAGTTCTTGACTTCCATCAAGTTTGCCTTAGCCTCTTTGAAGGTTTCTTTATTGAACTTTTTTGTATTGACCCTATTGTCTTCTTCTATTTGAAGTCTGACAATTAGTTCTTCCATGGTCATTTCCTTCTTTTTGTGCTTCAGGTAATTCTTGAAGTCACTATATTCAGGAGGTAATTTTTCAATAAAAGCGGTTACTAAAAGGATTTGTCTATGACCATTCTTTCAGCAAGAATTCCACTAACAGTTAGTTGGAGTTCCTCCACTTGTTTCACCACTGGTTTAGAGGCAACCATAGTAAAATTCAAGAACTTGGCAACTAAAAACTTTTTAACTCCAACATCTTCAACTTTATATTTATGGTCCAATGCCTTGCACAACCTCTTAGTTGTTTCATAACCAACATATAACAGATATAGTGAATCTGATAGACTATTCAAAATTATGTTCCTACATATATAATCAATATGCTTCCAAGCATTAACAATATTGAAGGCAATAATATTGTCTACCTCTCCTTCTCCTTCTCCTTCTCCCTCTTTAAAAACAGAAGGATCTTCCTTCAAGAACTTAGAAAGATTCATCGTGGTCAGATAGAAAAGCATTTTCTGTTGCCACATCTTGAAATTCTCTCCAAAGAATTTTTTGGCTTTTAGTTGTGGTAAACTGCCACTGCCAATTGACCCACATTCAGATTTGGATTCTGAACCAGTACCAGCATCCAACTTGGGTAAACCTGTGGAGCTTCCTGTCTCCATTTTTTCTGTAAATAAATAGAATTGGAATCATTATTAATTCCAATAACCAAAAAATTAATTTTAGTTTATTTTCAGTTTGTTAACGGACATAATCAACATTCAGAAATAAAATCAGTAACAAATGTTACTTTCACGACAATTTCTGTTAAACTGATTTATCCATTATGATATTTTAACAAATATGTTAAGACGACTTGATAAATCATGGAACACATTTATTTGCTATCTCGTTTTCACCAAAATTTCCAAAACATCTCGGATAAAGAAAGGTAGAATAAAGAGTTTAAATATGTCTTAAGATTATTATCCAAAATAACAATTTGAGAGAAAATAAAAAAAAAGAAATCAAATTTATTAAATAATAAATAAAATAATATAGACAGAAAAAATACTCTTCTTTATTGATATTCTTTTTATTGATCCATCGATTGGAAACAGTTGAGGCTTGTCTCTACATAGTTTCCTTAAGATAGATTTTAAGCCACTCTTTTGGTGCTCTCTTAGATTATTATCCAAAATAACAATTTGAGAGAAAATAAAAAAAAAGAAATCAAATTTATTAAATAATAAATAAAATAATATAGACAGAAAAAATACTCTTCTTTATTGATATTCTTTTTTATTGATCCATCGATTGGAAACAGTTGAGGCTTGTCTCTACATAGTTTCCTTAAGATAGATTTTAAGCCACTCTTTTGGTGCTCGAAATCTTTTGGTCTTTTGTCTCCAGGATACAACAACTATATGATCTTCGAACAGCACCACAAACTTTCAAGATCACAAACTATTTCTTGACTTTGCCTATCACCGGAAAACTAAGTAGAGAAAAAGAATTTTTCAAGATTTATGAAGTTCTTGAATTCTGAGTTATGTAAAACCTACAAGATTAGCTCTCTATTTATAGGGGATTTTCATGAGAGCTTTACTCCAACTAAATATCTTTTAATATTCAAATTTAAACAGATAATAATATCTTTTAATTTGAAATATTCAAAATATTTAAACTCCTTTTATTATTCAATTTTAAATAGATATTGTTTTAATTTGAAATATTCAAAGTATATAATTATCTTTTAATATTCAAAGTTAAATAGTTAATAAATACATATTAATTTGACATATTTAAAAGAGTAGTTATCCTACTAATATTCAAATAAAAGAATATCTCTTAATTTGTAATATTTAAAAGGAATATGAATTTAATTTAAATATTAAATTCATCAATAAATTCACCCTTTTTCCAACATTATGTTCACTTATATGTCAGTTTCCTGCAACAGTCCTTTAAGTGTTGATAAATTATAAGTCAGATACATTACAAACGATATCGGCTCAAAAGTAATTCTTTTATGGAGGTAAAAATCATTAGCTTTGCGATAGCAAAATTAGAGTTTTTCATTTCCCATTAAACTTAAAGTAGACGACCAGAAGGTGGTTGCGGAGGTTCTTCTTGGAAGTGTTCCAATCACGCCACTTTTGGAATTCGGCTAAGAGTGAAAGAAGAAAAAGAATGAGAAGAGAAGGTGATTTTTTTTAATTTTCTAATTATAAACTTATACTTCTGTTAATGAGTAACATAGTTAACTATCGAATGACAAAAACTGAATGCATCGATAACGCAATAGATCAAAATCACTCTTTTTTAAAATCAATAATCAAAATCGAAATGACAAAAAAGACAAGGGAATATAAACACAGTTTATCCTTTTTCTTATGGGTTACGATTACAAGGGAAGATGAGTAGGGGAGAGTATTCCCAATCTTGGCGAGCAAGAAATTTAGAGATTTTGTTACAAGTACCTCAATTGGGTACCATAACTTAAACTTGACCTATTTCCTCAAATCTAGCTCATGTATAATCTAGATAATCAACACAAAATAGTGTACTAATGACCAATAGTGAAAATACTCCTCGTATATGTGGGTGTAACATATTTCATAGGCAAGATCATTCGATGACAAACGACGACGATCAAAGTAGTTTAAGTTTGAAGAAATCGAACGAATTTTCTTAGATTTATGGGGGTAGAGGATGTTTTAGGAAAAATAGATCCTAGAATCGTGATTGGGAGACCAACACTTGACATGCAACCTAATTTTCCCAGTTGAGGATTCGACATTTTTGTTGAAAATAGGTAATTACATTGCAATCCTTCTAATTTTAATCAGTATTTAATTTAGTCCTTAAATATCGAAATTAGATGCTATTTTAGCTACAATAGCTTTTAATTTTATAACTTGGACTCTTAAATTATTATTTTCTAATTGATGAATTATTTTGATGTTGAGAATGAATAATTAGAAGGATGTGTTCGTGAATCAGAGGCTAATAATGTCAAATTCTAGAACTTAAGGTCAGTACAACTTGAACTTGGAAGTATTTTATGACTTAGGTAAATATGATGCCTTGTCTATCATTTTGCATGCATGTTATGAGTTTAAGGTCAGAGGCTAATGGTGTCGAATTCTAGAGCTTAAGGCATCGTGTCTAGGGATGGGCATAAGTATGGTCGGGTCAGATTTTCGATCAATCTGACACGACCCGAAAATTATACACCCTCCATTCGAATCTAATCCGACCCAAAAAATATACACCCTCCACCTGACCCGACCTTTTGAGATAAAATCCGAATCCGACTAGACCCAAAATAATATATTTATTAAAAGAATATTATTTTTATTCATTAAGGAATTTAATTGAAAAAATAATATATAGCGGGGCATTATTGTAATTATCCTTAAATACAAAGGTAAAGTTATATATTTTTCTCGGGTCGGGTCGGGTATTTTTGACCCTAAACCCGAACTCAATTTTTTTTAAAAAAATGCAACCCGATCAGATCGGAACCCGTCTGATTCGAGTCTCATGGCCATCCCTAATCGTTTCAAGTAGTTAATTTCAACAATTCTGATATTATGTTCAGTTCCAGGACGAAGCTTGATGGTAGATTGTTGGCTTTGTCAATTCTGGGTGTCAATGATCCGCTTGATCATGGTCAATTCTGGGTGTCATTAGTTGGAAGAATAAATTTTTCCCTCAACCTGGAAAAGAAGTGATTCTGAATTTGTCTTTGAATTTTGTCTTCCACTACAACTATAGGATATTCATTATTGGAATCCATATTATTTATGTTGATACAAATTATAAATTTAAATATTTGATTCGGACATCGAATCACAAATAGAAGAATATGTTGGTCATTAAAAAGATTCGAACTTTGATCATCCAACTTTTAGTAGATTTAAACTCAAAATTGTGTAATGCAATATTCATATATTTAAAATATAATCTAAAATTTAAAAAAATGGATAAAGATATATGATATATAATTATATTTAATTCATATTCAAATAGTATACTCTTAATTTATGGATAAAAATGAAGTTATATTATTAGATATATTTACATAACTCAAACAATTTAAATATTAAATATATCTAACTTGTTCTTAAAGTTAAGTCTAGATATAATGGTAAACTAAACTTATTTACTTGAATTTAGTTAATTTTCCCTTACATATATTATTAAAATTTTGTTTTTATGAAATTATTAAGTCACCTTAGTAGTTGGTCGATAAAGTTGTTCATATTTGTTCACTTATATTCTCTTAAGTTATGAGTTCTAAACCCATTAGTAACATTTCCCTTCCGCTCCCTAGAGTCCCTTCTTCCCTTCTCCTCTAGGTAGGACTAAAAAAATTAAATTTAGAATGTTAAAAAAAAGTGACATCAATGGTTAAAGAAAGTGTTGTTCTCTTTAGAGATTTTGAGTTCAAGCAGTTGTATCTACAGGGTGTGTATGTATTGTCAATAGTTAAGAAATATTATGAACACGAGTTTTGTTATAGGTCCAAGACTTGAACCCTAAAGACGGGGTGTTGGGCCAATCGACAATAAAATTCTTCCAAAGCAAAGAGATTAATGCTTGTTCAATAAAGACTGGGAATTCATAATTGTAATAATAATTGACTTGAATACATACATGGCCTGAAAATGGTGGAGTGGGTGAGAAAAGCTGCCCCAAAGTAAATGAACCCTAATTGAATATGTAGGTGTTTGATGGAAGCAACTTTGGGGTGGACAGGGATATAACAAGCAAAGTCATCAGAATAGCTACAGCCCATGAAAACGTCACAGATGTGGGACTTTTATTGTTTACCACTTGGACCATCAATTAACGAACAAATTAATAATCAATTAACATAATGGGATGAGACATTAATACATTATATCCATAGGTGCTTAATGAGTTGAGTAATTCGAACACGACTCAATCAAAATTTGGTAAAAGTTTAACTGGGTTGACTCGACTCGAAACCATAATGAGTTGAGTCGAGCAAAATCTAACTCGACTTGATAAGTTTGTGAGCAACACATTAATTTTATAACTTTTTAGTAGTTATCTTAAAAAATATTTCATTCAAAAATTTACTAATTTACTAATAGATAATAGATGATATTATTAATATATTAATTTTCTAATAAACAATAAAAATATTAAATTATTAATTAATATTTTACGAGACCTAAAAGTCAAACTCTATTTACTATTTTAATGTATTTGTTGATTGTTACTTTGAAGTTTAGATTTTGAAATTGTTTCTTTGGAGTTTAGATTTTGAAATTGTTTCATACACTCTTTTGGTATTTTTTTTATTAAATTTATTAATTTATGTTTATATTAAGTTTTATATAGTATTAGTAGATTTTACCTATAGTTAAGAAAATAAGGTAAAAATTTCGATGGACTTAACGATAAACGAGCTTAATGAGAAACGAACTTAATGAGCAACGATTTGAGCAATAAATTTTTTTAACAAGTACGAGTCGAGCACTGCCCAACCTGTGATCGACTCACTCGATAAGCACCCCTAATTATACCCCTTGATTAAATAAAGTTAGAGGACTAAATCTTGACGTTACGAATGGAGCAAATTAGGTTAAAAATCGCTCTCATATTAATTTTTTACAATATTCGATCCAGATTAATCAATTAATAA